TATCAAAAAAGTACTCCAGAGTGTTGTTCAGCATGGGGGTGAGTAGAAAATGAAGGCTAATCATGTTTTGGGTGTACTATTCCTTTAACAAGTTTATATTTAATTAGACTTGGAGGGAGTCGATGTTTGTTCCTCAAAGGGGAGTTTTCTAAGTTGGAGAAGCGTTGCACATGTTGTCAATTTATGTCTGTGGTCTGGCTGTAGGAAAGCCCCCGGCCAGATGCTACGTCAACGCTCTCCCTGGCCAAGGAGGACGAGATGAGGAGCAGAAACATGCCGACTCAGGGGTTTGGTGCTGCCATCTTTCCATCCTGCACACATCCAGCTGGAAACCCAGCTAAGGAGGACACCCCCACCAAACCACCACAGTTCCCTGGAGCGTCTGTCAGACCTGAGGAAGTCTTGTTAATCATTCATCTTATTAACATCGTGTGGAAAAAGGACAAGAGAAGAAAAACTTGAGAGAGATTTCTTAACAGCAAATCTCTCTAACTAGGAAAATATGTAAATGTAGTTGCGGTTTACATGGAAGTACCCGCTCCTTACTGCTCAGAAGGGCCATAAAAAGTAACATTTGAAGCCCAGAAGGAGGAAGGAAAAGTGAAGTTAAGTGAGAATCATGATGGCAGCAGGGTTTAAGCTCCACATTTCTAATGTTCAGTCATGTCCTGTGGCTGTACCAGCCCCCGACTCCCACTGACCTTTTAATAGACACAGGAAGTCTCAAACCAGACAGCGTTCAGAGGGGGATTTAACACACAAAAGCTGGGTTCAGATGCTCATCTAAACACGCTTGCCCTATAAAAACACTCCAAAACGTGCAGAGCAATGGAGCTGGCTAAACTCTGTAATAACTCAGCCTGTCAAACTGTCTCTCCTGTAACCACAGACTACACACAAAGCCAGAACGCTACTGTAGCCGCTACTACAGCTGGACCATTTAACAGCATCACCTTCAGGCGCCGGAGGATCAAACTGTCATCTTCTGTTATAGCTCCAGGAAACCTGGTAAATAATGCCATTAAGCAGAGCATCTTCAGTCAAACGTAACAGAAGGTAAATCCTTCAATCCGAAACAGAAATTGTGGTAAAATGAAAGAAAAGGAATTGATTATACTGTAATGATGTGGAAAGGTGTTTAAAAGGGATGCTGGAAAAAGTCCCACTGGACAGAAAACAGGCAGCTGATAATGACTGGCCATCCAGTTCCCCTAGATAAAGCTTTTCCTAGAAAAGCACCCACCCACCTGAAGCTGACAGCTCTCTGCTTTCTGTTAGTGACGTCTCAGCAGCTGAAAAGACTAGAACCAGTAGTTCCCAGTTCACATTCCCCTCTTTCATTATCATTATCTCAGCCCAAACACAGTTCACACTGCTGGGGTATCTAAATACCACATCCAGTGGGATATATCAATATATACTAATAGATAACCAGCTGGTTAAACAAGTAAAGGTTCGAGTTGAAACATATTTTCATATAAATGCTTGTGATTTATATCAGGTTCACGTTTGACCAGTTTGAGTTGAAGTGCGACTCCCAACAAGTGAGGCTCTGCTATGGAAAACAAAGCAGCAGGGCAACAATAACAACGCCCTGTTTAGGACATTTCACAGGAAAAACATCTGTTTTATGTCCTTCTTTAGAAATGTTTCTATTTAATGATTACTGTTCGCATTTTCTCCTTTTCTAAAGACACTTTAGAAACTGACATCTGTCCCGATCATCTTCACAAACCTCTTCCACGTGTTTTACCTCCTCAAAGTTAGAGCTCTCTGAGGGAAAGTTTACAAAATATAAAGAAATATGATTTAAATAGGAGATTAAATAAATAAATACAAAAACTGGGGGGGAAATGATAAAAAACCAGGAGAATCATTGGGTTAAATGTCTAATGTGACGTCAGCAGACTCTTATTTTAAGTCATGGATTTTTTTCTTTTTTTCTTTATTGAATTAACAGCTATCTAACTTGAAATAAAAATAAATAAAAATGATTAAGGTGCGATTCACAGTTTGGGCTAGATTGTAGCTTTAAATCCTATAAAGACAGTTTAATTTTGAAGCCTAATATTCTTAATATACTGGAAAACACCTAATTTAGCAACCTGTATAGATGCGTTAATGAGGTTAAACTCCAGCTACCGTAAATCCACTAATAAAGAAAGAAAGAGGAGAAACTAAACTCACCCTTTTGAAATATTTCGCATCTCCTCCGCTGTCTTCAATGCCGTTCGGTAAAAGTGTGTCCGTCATTCTAAAGGCGAAGTGTAAAAATTAAACCACTAAAAAAGGAAGAAGCTCAAATAAACTGGGAATAAAGGTGAGGTGAAGAGGAAAGCTGTAGAACAGGTGATCTCCTAGCTGCTCCTGCGGTGCTCCTGTTGCTCTGTCCTCCTCTCCTCCCAGCAGCGCAGTTTTCCAGAAGGAGCAGCAAGCTCCGCCCACAGCCGCACAGTGTAGGACAGTCACCGGAAGTTACCTGCTCCCCTCAGGTGAGGATCGCACGCGACATGACGGTGAACCCTTCAGGTTGACTTTACACCCGGTTTGTGAAACATTTAGATGATTTTTCGCTACAGTACACAAATTATAATAAAATAAGTAAATAAAATAATGGTATAGATTAATTTATCAAACCTCAATTACACCAAAATAATAGCTAATAATAGCAATAGCTGTATATATATATATATATATATATATATATATATATATATATATATAT